AGCCATTTTTAAAGAAAAAAGCATGGGCTATTAGCTTTTGCTTTTTTCATAAATTGGCTTGTTTTTGAAAATGCACATAACTCAAAAAATATTATGGTGGAAACAATTCAAACTTACTACATTGGGGCCAGATTAAAAACATGTGCACAAACATACAATCAGAAGAGTGTCATTTACGTGGGGCTCATTCAGGCTCACCCTAATAATATAGCTTACACACCTTTTGCAGAAGTGCCAACAAAACAGGAAACATCAATAATGTAATGATACATCCTAGAGAGAGGAGAGAGTAAAGGGGTCAAGCAACAAAACAAGATATGCAAATAAGTAGCTCTTGAGTGTTTTCAGAGCTATTTGTACAGACTAAACTCAGCAGCATTGGACATTTATAGACATACATGTAAATATATAGTATAGAATGGACAGTTCTGGCCATTAAAAATTTACTATACCTATAACATATGAGTAACGCAAAAGTTGGGAAATGTTTAACTCTTGGTTCTTCTGTCAAAGTATCATTTCAAATGATGAATACCAAGTTGCATGAAGATTTGCAGAAAGTGTAGTTTAAGCATACCATTATTATCATCTTACCAAATTGGCTAAATTTTTAAATGATATGGCAAAACACTTTTTGCCGAGTTATTGAAATTATTTACTATTGGTGAAGATAACTACCATTCTGCATGCAGTCAGTTGCACAGCGGCACATCATGCTATGATTAAGATTGAGAAATGTGGTAAAGGTCTGGCTGTGACTAAGATAATAATTTTAAGATAACAACTATTGCCTATGTGTTTTAAAAAATAATTAGTGCTAATGTGTTTTATGAAATAATTAGTCAACATTTGTCATTGTTAGTGCTCATCTCAAAATTAAAATAATTAGCCACTGTAAATAAACCAAATTCTGTTCAAAACAGCTGTGGGTTTTCAGTACTCGAAGAACCAGACACAGTCATTAATGTACACCTTATACATTTACAGGAAGTTTATGGACTAGCTAGAACCAATTTGAGCAGGCTTGTAATAGATATTTCATGTTATACTTGACTGCAATTGTTAATCATCCATTTGTAAGTCCAAAAATCAAGTATCCCAAAAAACAACTTTAACAGCTACAACCTTATTAAGTGGGACAATGGAGACCAATGGCAATCAGGTATCCAGCCATGAAAATATTCAACAGTATCATTGCAGTTACGACCAATAAGTTTATTTGTTGCTGTTGTTCATTTTCTATTATTTGATTGACAATCTGGTGCTTATGTAGATTCTGCTCTTGTTCAAAATATATTGACTCAACTAACTTTCATAGAGCCACATCAAAGGGTTAATTTAACATTGTTTATGCTGTTTTTTTTATAAAGAGAAACTAGACAAAGTACTACAAACACCAGAGAATAGTTAGAGCTACAACTTGATGAGGAAACCCCTGGAATATATCTATGATAGGCTTTTAATTGAGAATTGAAGCACGTGTTTTATAGGCTCGCTGGAACTAGTCTGATGTCATGTAAACAGATACTATATATGCTATTTCATTGCTACAAGGTCTCTCTTGTTCACTTTTCATTTAGAGAAATAAGAGAAGCTCTCCAAAGACTCTTAACAATTTGGTATAAGAAACCCAAGTGCAAGAGATGCTACTCTTGTTTATATTGTAGATCTACCCATCACCCTCCTCCACCACCACCACCTAGTGGTGGTGAAAACAGGTGAGTGAAACCAATTTATTGTACATGGTTAATTATGATTAAATTTTCTTTGGCACTAACTTCATAATCTGTAAGCATGGTTAGTTGATTACAACAGGAAATAGCATACCCTTTGGCTAGTAGGGACTGTAATGTAGTGGAAGCATTATAGGCAGTAAATTTAATACAGAAGTAAATGGAAATGTCACAGGACCTCCACAGGCTTAACAGCACAACATATTTAATTGTTGCGCTCAGTTAGTGACTGTCCTTATTCCAAGATTATACTGCTATTGTTTTTACAGAATCATGTTTCAATAGTATTTCAACAATTAATGATCTACGTAAATTTTACAGTGATGGGTGTTGTAGTGTTAAACATCTGGAAGGTATGAGGAAACTGGATCATTGCACAACCTGTTTGAGCTGACTAAGGAGTTTGATGCCATGAGAACATTATGGTGTATAGTTTGCTTAGATTTTGGTGATTGAGATGGTCCAGATAAATGTATTTCTACTCTGTCTTGTATTTTCTGTGTTTACAGGCAACATCAATGATGAAATATGAAAAGTGCCACCTTTGTTTTGACCTTTATTTTTTGAAGCAGCAAAATACTGCATTCTATTATCTTGTGTTAGTAATGGTGGAGGAAATTGGTTTTACTACAGACATTGTCAGTGGGAAAGAAAGTAAAGTGGAGAGTTGCATTAGTACGACGACAAACCCTAATACTGATTGGTGTGGCTTTGGGAAGGACAAAGAGGCAAAAGGTGATAGTGGAAATTATAAGGAAACTGTTTTATAGCAATTAGTAGAAGTTTCTGTAGCATTTCAAGTTCAAAATCTAACCTTAACGTAAGTAGGTGTGATCACGCCTACTTACATATAAATGCGTAATACGTAAATGCATAAAGCTACAGATGCTACCTACTTGAGTATAAATGCCAAGTCTGTCAGCAAGTGGTGGCTGGCGTGACAATGGACTAGGCAGAAAGCAATCCGTCATTGACACCGACTCCAATCAAGCGTAAAGAGGTGCAAAGTGAAAGAACAAAATCTTTAAAAAAGAAACACATGAATTGAGGATAAATAACTTGTAGTTGCTGTCTATTCCTTTTGAGACTACTTTTTCTTTCATTTCTGTCCAAATTGCTCTTAAATTTGATATATTCCAATAGTTCCTCAATGGTGTCAAAGGATTTGGTACTTTTATTGAGTGTGGCTCTCATATATCTTCTTACTCTTGATGTCGCCAACTATCCTTGGGTTCGCCTCCTCAAAGGGATTGAGGAAAAGCACTCATCTGATCAGACTCAGTGCTACAGATGCAAAGAATCTCACTCTCCACCTCCAAGGAGAAATGTCCTTCAATTCATAAAGGTTGTAAAGTTGATACCACTTATTACTGATAACTATTTTACTAGTATTATTTTAATTGGTAAGGAAGATAATATAGTAGATTAATTATTTACCTACTCTTTAATTGTAGCCACTAAAAATGAGTCAACAATAACTCTCTGATCAAACAATGCATCATCTAAGGCCTCATGAACCTAATCTGTCTAATTTTATTTTTTTTGAAATG